CGATTTATGAATTGGAATATGATTTAGTCTTTAATTTTGCTTGGTTTTGAGTCCCATGTTCAGATTTTATGAGACTAGTGCCAACTCTTGCTGTGTATCTTTTGTTGACGCTCCAATATCAGGGATAATATTGGCTTTTATTGAACCTGCTGATGCAGTGATAGCGGGTATGATATTACGTTCCATTGAACCATCCATGTGGGCTTGAGTTAGAAAAGTTTTATCTTGCTCAGACGGACCTTCAATAGCTAACCTGAAAGAAAAATAATGAAAACATTAGGGCAATGTGAACACAAGTTAAAATAGAAAGAGCAAAAAACCTATGTTGAATTGACAGTGTGAATACATACAGAAAATTAAAAAGCACAGATCAAAATAAGTCATTGATCATCGTCTTTCACCATCATCATCTATACCATCATCATCATCACTACCACCATCCTCAGTCCCATCATCATCATCATCTTTACCATCGTCATCTACACAATTATCATCGCCATCTTCATCCAATCATCATCATCACCCTCATCATTATCATTACCATCACCATCCTCCTCCTCACCATCATCATAATCATCTTCATTATCATCATCTTCATCATCACCATCATCGCCACCCTCTTCATCACCCTCACCGTCTTTATCATCATCATTGTCATCATCATCCTCATCATATTTATCACCATCATCATCCTCATCATTTTAATCATTATCATAATTATCATCACCATCATAATCATCAAATAAGCTGTTCATCTTCTGACAGTGTGAATGTCACAAAAGCACACTACATAACTGCATGTGAGGATTCATAGCAGCTTTAAAAAATGGTTGACTGTTGGAAGAGGAAACACGTTTAGATCTTAAAATCAGGATCTAAATATGAGAATAGTGTGAAAACAATTTAAAAATGAAATAAGTGTTAACACGACTTGTACCTTTCAATTGAAGATGATAACCTTGTTTTATTTGGACCAACGTCAGACGGAGGGTGAGGACGTACTTTATTTCCATTCATCTTGGCAAACAAAAGTCTGAGAACGCGCTCTCTTTGTTCCCAAGTCAAATCTTTAAGATCCAATTGGACTCCAAGTCCACTCCTGAAAGATATATTATTTTGAAATTCATTGAATGGTGGTAACAATAACATTAATTTCTATAATAATTATATTTGTAATTAATAACCATAAGTAAATTAATAACAAGATAAAAATTATATAAATCATTAAAATTATATTGAATAATGACAGCATAAAAAGATATTAATGATAATCATGATAGCAAATGATAGCTACTAATTTAAATTACAATTAATCAATGGTTAAAGTCCACTCCTGAAAGATATATTATTTTGAAATTCATTGAATGGTGGTAACAATGACATTAATTTCTATAATATTTATATTTGTAATTAATAACCATAAAGAAATTAATAACAAGATAAAAATTATATAAATCATTAAAATTATATTGAATAATGACAACATAAAAAGATATTAATGATAATCATGATAGCAAATGATAGCAAATGATAGCCACTAATTTAAATTACAATTAATCAAATAATAATTCTAGTAAAAATTAGGAATTAAACATCTGAATTAGTTAATTACTGCAATGAAACGATGATTAATACGTACCAATCTTCAGCCGCTTTCAGGTCGTTGTAAACACTATTGGTGCTGGTGTCGGAATTACGGAAGGTTCTTATTTTTGGGTAGTCTACTTTGCCAGCATGTGCATCTAGCATTCGTCTGTGGTATGCCATTGCAGCATCTCGACGGTACTTAGCACGATTTGCAATGATCTCTTTCTTCACAAGCTCCAAAGAATCAAGGAAAAACTGCTCCATTTCAGTCCTCTATTAAATAAAATGGGCTGGTTAGCAAAGAGGTTAAAATAAACGCGTATTTGGGGAGGGGAATAGGCATTTTGAAGAATAGTAAATAATTCCTCACTATTCTACACTCGATCAATAATAGATAAGATGGTTAAATAAAAATTACAGAATTAATATCATGTACATTAATGTTACTAATAATTAATACTATTTTAACGATTATTTTAAACAATGATAATAATTAAAATAATTTTGCTCATAAATTAATTAGTGTAAATATATAAAATCAATACAATAGATAAAAAAATTTTCTAATAATTTGATTCCTGTAAATAAGATGAAGAATAAATATTATGTGCTATTAATGTTAATAATAATAAAAATAATTAAATTATTTTAATTATTATTTACATTAATAATGATAAAAATATTTTTTCTAATAACTTAATTACTGTAATTAAGATTACAGTAAAAATGGAAAAAAAATTTGGTAAGTTGCCATACTATACTTGGTCTATATAGCACAACAAAGGCTTCAATGCGCTTTACATCATTACCTGCTTATTAAGATCAAAACCTATGAAACATATTTAGTTCTCCGAGGAGTATAAAAATCAACAGACAACAAGCCAATGAGAGCTTGTATATCATCTGCCACAAGGTGTTTGCACGAATGAAAGAAGAGTATGGTCCTGATATGTGATCATGTGACCCATCTATGCCTTACCTGATCAAGTACAGCCTTTGCCAGTCGTTTCACTTTATTCATTTCTTTCGATCTCATTTCAACTGTACGCAGTAGCTTAGCAATCTCCACTTTACTGGATTCGGTCTCGATGGAAGCCTTGCTGACAACAATCTCGCGTTCTCGCTCAAACTCCTTCACCATGTGGCTGAGTGCAGTCTCAAGACTTGATACTTTCTCTTGTAACTACAAAGTGAATTCACAATTAGAAATTAAATAAATCATGAAAAAAGATCAATATCGGTAATGAAGTAAAATAATAAATATATGGTCCTTGTTGGGAGGCTTGGATTAGACTGCTATTGTAGTGATGTCGTCGGGGGGGGGGCCAGGCCCCTATTGGGAAGAAACTAATCATTAATCTGGGAACACTGCTTTGAAATAGCATTCTTACAGTTTGAGAGTGACATTTTGTTATATCAGTATTTAAGGCTATGATCTCACACGGCAGCTAACGGTTAGCAGGATCCGGATCCTGCTAACTGTAAGCTGCTGTGCGTCCATACGAGAAAATCCCGATCCGGATACCAAGAATATGATGATGGAATCACTGGCCAATAAGAAACTAGAAATTGTAAACGCGTACGTGTAATTGGTTGATGATAGAAACGCGCTCACTTGCTAACCGCTAGCGCTTGCTAACTGTTAGCGGTATCCAGATACCACTAACGGTTAGCGCTAACCAATCGGGCATTCTCATGCAGGTGCTAACGGTTAGCGCTAATGGTTAGCTCCCGATCCGGATACTAGGTCTCTTGTGAGAACCAGGCTTTCGGATGGCCTTCAAAAACACAACAGAATCAAAATACAGCAAAAACAATGGAGTGGATCTATTTTGTTTCTATACTCTTTTTGCACTACAAAGTTTTATGATGAATACTACAATAAAAATACACAACAGACTACTCACCGCTCGGATCTGGCTCTTCTGTTTCCTGGCTTCCACTACTTTCTCTTGAACAAGAAGATCATTCAATTCTTTTCCTTCTTCTAGCTGCTTGTTCTTGGTCACCAGTTCCCCTTTAGCTTTTTCCAACTCACTTGTTTCTTTCATGTGGTAACACAGAGCCTCATTCACACGCACATTTTCTTTGTAAACAGATCGAGTTGTCTCATCCAATTTACTGATAATAAATCAAATAATAATTATCCATGTAAAATGCAATCACAATTGTTTTATTAGCAGGATAGATTAAAATGTTGCTTCTATAAGTCAACAAGCCACAATGGTGAAAGACAAGAGATATGCCATAATTACAGTTAAACTTGCCTAAGTCGACTATGCCTAAGTCAAATAATTTCTAAGTCCAGACCTTGATTTAAAGAAAAAGCAGGAGAGCTACTAACAGCTCTCCTCAAGAAATTGACACACAGGAAGGAACCTTAAAAAAGGTCTGGCAGTCAACGTTTTAAAACCAGGGGCCAAAAATACTTACAATGATCTCCTTTTCTTTCCTGGTTTCTCTTTTTGTGTCCTTCAATTGTTTCTGCAATTTTGAAATCTAAAACGCAAACAAGAATATGTTAAAAAGCAAAAGAGTGGAGTGTAGTTGAATAGCTCGGTGGTTAAAATGCTTGCCCTCTAATCCCAGGGTCATGGGTTAAATTTCAGTGGCAGCAGTGTTTTTTCTCATATAAAACAACACCACTCCCTAATTATCTTTATGAGCATAACTGGGCCCCATGGGATAACAGAAGTTACTTACTGAACAGGATGCCCAGTGTAAAGAGACATTTTTCTAATTAAAAAATAATAATAATAAAGACAGGACTACATTAATAAATAATAATAATAAAACAGCATTTATAATGCGCTGTCTATCTAGCGAACTATTCCGAGGCGAAGTGACTCTTGACGAAAAGAAAAAGGATTTATTAATTTTTATGTTTTTATATTGAATAGTTAAAAATACAATACACAGAGGCAAAATTTTGAAATTACCAAGTGAAAAGTATTGAATAATAAAGTTATAGTTGCAGTTATATTTACTAACAAAATATTTAATAGCAATTATATACTTACTTTCCCATTTATCTCTATTTTATTCATTCTATCTATTCTATACTTGTTTCTTGGTTTTATTACTATAGCTTGTACTCCTCTTTTCTTTTTAGTTCTATCCCTTTTTAGCCTTGCATTTAATTTCTATACTTTCTTTCTTATTCCTTCCCTTCTTCAGTTCATTTTCTTTCTATTAATTTTTCTTTCTTATTCCTTTTCAATCTTTTATTTTCTTTCTTATTACTTTCCAATCTTTCGTTTCCTTTCCTAATACTTTTTATTCTATTCGTTTTCTTTCTTACTCCTTTTCCATCTTCCGTTTTCTTTCTAGTACTGTAATTCATTTCAATCTTTCCTTTCTATTCCTTTTCTATACCTTTCAGTTTCTTTCTTTTGAACTATTCCTTTTCAGCCTTTCGTTTTCTTTCAATTTGTTTCTTTTCCTTATTTCTTCAGTTGTTTTCTTCCTTATTCCTTTCCAATGTTTCGTATTCTTTCTTATTCCTTGTCAATCTTTCGTTTTCTTAATACTTTTCAATCTATTTGTTTTCTTTCTTATTACTTTTCAATCTATTCATTTTCTTTCTTTTTACTATTCAATCTTTTGTTTTCTTTCTCATTACCTTTCAATCATTATGCCATGCTACATTTTATTTTTATAAAAAAAAATTTTTATTTATTGCTTATATTCATAGAAAAGAGATGAATAATATGATTCAGTAGTTTATTTTCAAAGAAACAGAATATAAAATAAAAATCAAAACCTATCATACAAGGTCCTCCTTAGCTTGATCCTCTCTTTTCAAGAATGTTATAACTTCCACTGTGTCCCTTTCTGTCTTCTGCATCGACACTTGTAGGGCTTCATTCTCAAGGGCAAGATGTTTTGAACTCTCTCGGAATTCTTGTCGGGACATCTCTGTGGTAGCCAACCGAGCTTCCCATATCTTTGAGTTGGCTGTGGCAAGTGCTGTATCAGAGAATTTCTTTTCCTTCTTCTTCCTATCAAAGAAAAAAATGATAGTAATAATATCATATATCCATGTGCTTGGTATGATTAATCCATTGGCAAAAAATAGATCAATTTTATGTAAGTAAATTAATATTAAGTATTATTGATACTATTTTTCAATCATCATAATAATAAATAGGGGCCAAGGCCTAGCCTAGGCCCTATTTTATTTTTATAATATATTAATATGAATAAATTATGAAGAGGGGTAATTAATATCATCTTAATTAATGACATACGTCATCAGTCGGTTCTGACAGTAATAGAGTAGGTAGATCAGGATGCGCAGTATATAGTAAAAAAGGAGAGGGCCAGGCCCTTGGCCTTTGTTTAAATAGATAGAGGCTGAGATATGCCTACTAGTACTAGGCCTAGGCTAGGCCTAGGCCAGCCTAACTAAAACTTACCCCTTCTTTACCTTTCCTTTGCCTGTTTTGACCTTTTTAGTTTTCTTCGGCATTTTGAACTATTTTACACAAGCAGGTAGCTGATTAACATTAACCACAATAATTTTAGTTACACAGAAATAACAAAAAACTTGTTTAAACAACTGAAAAACAATAAGGCTTTTGCTTTTTATCTCCGATCCATCCGAAATATAGTAAACAATTGAAGCGCCCTCTATGTGCATAATGGAACCATGGCAACTGTGAATGCCCTACACCCTCTACGATTTGTCAAGAGAAAAATAATAAATTAAACCCGTTTTTATTAATTAAACCGCATTGAATACTGTAATGTGATACAGTATTTGATTTAAATTTTGTATCCTTACAATTTGAGCTATTTTGCCTTCCAGCTTCAAGGCTTGTATTGATCTTATAATAGATAATGGGCGTCATAATTACTGTCTCTTATACACATCTAGATGTGTATAAGAGACAGTCTATGCATNNNATGTCTCCTTACCTGTGACCTGGCTCTTATACACCTCTAGATGGGGATAAGAGACAGATTATATTCAGGACATTCTCGTCTGTCAATAAAAATGTGTAAACTTATGGCTTTTTTTTTTACCAATTTAAGGGAGTACACATCCAACACACACGCATGGTACGGGCCTGTACAGAATAGTTGCCACAATCAGGATTACAAAAAAGAGCTATTCAGAGAATTAAACTTTAAAAGGTGAATAGGATATTGCTTTTTTAATATCCTTCTATTTTGGTGTACTTATCAGAGGTGACGCCAGCATTTGCCCAACGTTCCAGACTGTGGATCCGGGGGGGGGGGGCTCACTTGAATACCAACTTTACGGTGGCGTGCAGCAGCCACTCCAAGACATAAGACACTTGTGCTACCTGTTTTACTGAAAATTATTAGGGACTTGAAGAGTGAGCTCCCGGGCATGGATTCCCATCTCCCTGACTAGAGAAAAGTGAGTGTATTCGATGTCAGTCAAAATATTTCGGAAGTGGTCAAGGGAGGCGAAGTCCATAAAAATTATGACAATTTATTCTTTTTTTTTATTTGTTATTTATCAGGTAGTATATATAAGGTATGTGGAATTAACAAACTACACAACATAATTAGTGACACTTTGCTTGGAAAATATAAAATGGACTTGAGTTTATTTCAGCTGATGATAGTATTCAAACAACATAACTTTAAATGCTTCTGCTTGATAAACTTTGTACATAAAGTTGTTAAATATGTTTGAGAACAATACTGTTGTTTCATGATTTTAAAATGTCTTTTCCATGCTGCTCTCAAGTGTTAAAAATCTGTCCCCACTATGAATTGTCAACATAAAAGTTAAAAGAAAAACATTGGAAACAAAAGATTATTTAACTACAGTATAACTATAGTTATGATTAGAGTATTCAGATTTAAAGTCCCCCTTCCCTGGCAAACCAGTGCCAGCATCTGTCCATCGAATTGTCCATGTTGCCAGTAACGGCACAGAATTGTAATCGCCACAATTCTAATTGGTATAACAGTAGGAATGATATTGAATCAACACTGTAGGCATTCCTTCTCCATCACATATATATAATATACCTCATAGTTTAAGATAATCTCTTTAGAAATTACAACAAGGCTATAAAATCAGTTTTATATTTTCTGATCAACTTTACAAAATACTTGTTAACATAGAGCACCAGAATCTTGTAAAATCTTTGCAAGTGAAAAATTAAACCTGCCTAACATGGAAGTATGGGTTTTCTGAAAAATATTTGATTCCCTACATATAGACATGTCACAGCCACATATGGGTGATTCATAACAATAGCGTGCACATATATTGATAAATCTGACAGTATGCGAGATTTGACCATAAATGAACACATCAATATATGGTGAGATAATATATTTCATGGTTCACCCATATATAATATTAACGGTGAGATATATTATCATTCTTGTTAATAATTTTTTATTACTAATATATACAGTATGCACAAATCTGAGACATGTGACTTGCCCATATATGGGCACAACATGTCACATCCTTATAGGGGTATAACACAACATCTGGCCCATAGAAAATTACAGTATTAGTATGAAGAAAACTTTACATTTTTCTACCTCAATTTCTTCCGGTAAAATTATGACTTAATTTGTGTGACTACTAAGTCTACTGCCAATACAGTAGAGATGCCAACAATAAAAAGCTTTGATATTTTCTGCCAGTGCCATGCAAATTAGAATAAAAAATATTCGAAGTCAGGTTTAATATTACAAGATGAAATATTCAATATTTAAAATTTATTAATAAACATTGTGTTATGAATAAACTAACACAACAAATGCTTTTTGTAAAGAATATAGCATAAAAATGAAGCATCTTTTTCAGTTCACTGATGAAATATTCCTTCAATAAAGTGAAACATGATTAGCGCCAAAATTTAAAATCATAACCTGTTCATTATGGTTTCTTCCTTCATAATCATTAATGCAGATTTTGTTTGACCTTCGATTAGATACAATGATTAAAATCAAAATTTGAATATGTATTTGCTAATCACTCATATCGCTCCCTGCAACCTCTTCTTCATCCTCCTCTTCACTGCTGGTACCACCATCATCACTTTCATCCTCGGCTTCATCATTTTCTCCCCCTCCTCTATCTCCATCTCCATCACTCTCCACTTCATTCTGATTGACTTCCATATCTGAATCTTCAAGATCTTCCCAGTCTCCCTGAAATGGAGGAGATTGAATAAAACAAATTTCAACATTTTTAAATCACATATTGGACAAAATAATATTTGATTCAGGACAAGAGCTGATACTTAGCACCTTTGCTTCTGGTTTCAATTTTGAGCATCATTTCTATTTTACAAAATGCATTTGATTCCAATAGGGAGTGCAACCACTAAAGGAGTTGGTTTGTTGTTACTTAACAACAGCCATGTAGTAGTTAAGACAATAATTTGTTTTGCTTTTGGTAATAATAATAATTTAAAAAAATGTACAAAAAACATTCTTTTTGGAAAGTAATAAGGACAAGAAGATGATTAACTTGGATATATGGTGTACTGGGATGGGCAATTCCATTATTATTTAGGGGTGTTGTAGTTCATGTACAGAAAACTTACCTCTGAATCTGACCGACTCTGTAATCCATCTTCAATAACATTTTCCATTTCATCTGACGATTCTACAAGAAGCAATTGTAAGTAATTATTACTGCAAATCATCAAATATTTATATTTATTTAACAATGGTGCAGTATAGAGCAGAGCTGATCATTTGGAACCTCTAACACTCTACCACCAACAATGCAGGATTTGAACCCAGGACCCTGGGATTATAAGGCAAATATCTTAACCACCAAGCTGGAGCTCCACTCCATCAACATTGCAGGATTTGAACCCAGGACCCTGGGATTGGAAGGAAAGCATCTTAACAACCAAGATAAGATCTTGGGATTAGAAAGAAAGCACCTAATTACCAAGCTGCAGCTCCAATCCCAAAATTTTCATGATTCTATTTTCATTAATGGAATGAAAAATGAGAATTACAAGAACTTACCTTCATAAACCAGGAGAGCTGATGCTTGGGTAAAATCATCATCTTCTTTCTCTTCATTCTGTTCCATGATCTGAAATAACAAGTACATTTCCTTTATTAAATACCTGCATAAACTAATATGAGGCTCGCCATCCAAAAACCTGAGTAATTAGCATAAGAATGCGGCAGTATTGAAGAAACTTTAATATTTTTACTCATAACTTTGGCAATAGTAAAATCGATTCCAGTAAATGACCCATCATTATAAAACTTATAATGTGGAGAATATGACAATTTTTTTTTGTCACTGATTCTGGCTTTGGCATGGCAAAGCCCAAGATGATATAATGGCTAGCTTACTGTTTGTAATAAAATCCGGGAAAACGCTTAAAAATTTAATGCACTTTAAATAATAAATTACTCAATCAAAAGGATCAAATAAGTTGCAAGTGAAATAATATACAAAACAATTTAGATTTGGTAATTGATGAACATTTATATACACTTTCTTATGAAAGAACATGACTACCAGTTCAAATATTAAATAAGAAATTAAGGGTCTATCCAAATAAAAATGAAATTATGCCTCCTTCCCAGACTTCAATAGCTATCAAGCAAGATCTTATATTTACAAGATAGCTTTCTCTGCGATTTCTGTGTGAAAATTCTGTAATTACGCAGTGTATGGCATCCTCTTGCAAAAGTGATTACTTTTCAACTTTGACATCAAAGATCGTTAACTAAAAGATAGCGCATCTGCGTGCAAATTCAATAAAAACCATTTTAACAACTAGGACGCTCTCTCCCAGAAAGTGATTACTCATTTATGCTTCTTTTTACTGAATATTTGATGCTTCTATTTGTTACGAGTGATATCTTTCCTATTAAGCATTCATTTGAGAGTTATGTCTCCTTACCTGTGACAACATGAGGTCCAGTTTACCATGCAGCTTAGACAAACGGTTGCCCATGGTGGTCCGCGAGTTGATCATCTCGTAAAGATTGGACAGAAGCTGAACAAGATCAGGGCAAGTCATGAGATACGACGTGTGCATCTTCAAGACTATTTTTGTCCAGACAACGCAATTTTGACCACTGAAAGGCAATTAACAATATTAATAATTATTGACCTAAACCATATTTAATCATCAATAAAAAAATTCATGCAGACAACATATTGAACTTGGACAGACCGATGCACTTGCAACATCACTAAGTCTAGTTGAGAGCATCTTCATCACGAGCGCACAAGACTGATAATTTCAGAAATGGGACAATAAAAAACAGTTCTGAAAATACACATGTAGAAATATTTAAACCCAATGACACTCACAAAAAAAACTAAAATCTACCCACTCTATTCCTTCCTATAGCTGAAAACACTACTATCATTACAATACTATCTTGAATGTGGGAGTTCAATTTATAGTGGATAGTATTCATAACAAATAAATATCTGTATCGTTAATTATTTGGTCATTGTGTTCTGAGCCATTTCAAGTTCATAATGAAATTATTTGTCAATAGGCCCATCCATAAACACATTAAACCTTTAGTTTATACAAATTTGTATAGTTTGTGTATATAAGAGAACGTACTTCTCTGGGTTTGTATTTAGCCTTACAGCCAACTCTTGCAGTAATGGAATTATTAACGGAACCGGTAATCGTCTCACTGTGTTTCGGATTAAGTACTCCTTGTTATACCTAAAAACTCTCTGTGGAATACAAATAAAAAATACATTTTTAATTATAGACTAAAAATCTTGAGATACAAAATACAAAATATTTCATTTACTGTTGCCAATTTCATAACCAGAGCCTTGCATTTAATAAAAATATGAACTCACTCGTAAAATGTCTTTGTCACGACTCTGCAGACCTTGTGTAAGAAGAACAGCAAGAGATTCCGTTTTTGGTTGTTGGGTCTTTGATGTCTGCGGGATGGCTTGCGCAATTTCCATTGTATTTAAACGTTCTGCTAATGACAGCTGAAATAAAAAATTCAATCAATATACTAAAATGACAGTATACGACACACATATAATACATATAAATTATATGTAATCATCTATTTTGATCTCTACTAATCCTGTGTTCTCAAGTTAAGACATGAAGCTACGGTAAGCCTTATACTTCACACAGACAGAATGCATCTGTCTAGGTCACGGCAAGTACAGCATACAAATCACTCATTTGAGCCCTGACAAATGTTGTTTCCGTCATAATCAAAAGACCTGCACATTTAACTTATGTGGGGATTGCACAATGAGAACCACACAGGGGTGATGAAAGTGGAGAGGCCTTCCTTTGATTTTTATGTTAAGTTAGGTTAGGTTAGGAGTTATTGTACTGTGTTGCTTTACAAGCTTCACAAGTATTTATCCTATTTTGAACATTTAAAAAAATTGTATTTGATAATTGACATTGATTTGATGATGAATATAATTGAATTAATTGAGTTTTGCTACTTCACCCCTTGGACAATTTTAAAGTGGTTCTGGGGCATCCCCTGACCATACCCAGTTAAGCTCTTGGGGCAAGTGCCCCCCTTTGGAGGTACTATATCCCTGGACAAGAAAACATGGTGCCACTATTTAACCAGCCATTAATGCCACCATTTAATTCTAATCATAAATGATGGCAACTCTGCTTAGTAGTACACTTAAGAAATCTGATTTATACGCTACTGAAAAAAACATCAAGCAATAAATATTTACTTACCTCAGTTCTGAGCGACTTCCTTTTGTTATTATCCTTTTTAAAACCGTCTGTTTCTTGAGAAGGTCTAGCTGGTGCCATGTTACCAGGTGCAAGTACAGTCACATCTTGAGATGTCAAAGGTTGGCGAACCTACAAATATTAAAAGACCACTGTCAGTACTACACTAATTTTCATTATCAGTGGATGTAAATACTGTTGGTAAAATGTTTGTGCTGTATGTTCTGCTTTTGTACACTGTTTTTACTGATTGTTTCTATCTGGACTTTGGACTTGCTTCACAATTCCCCCCCCCCCCCCTTTTTCCGGGAATTTGTTAAGTATGGTATGTTGTAGCACAGTGGTGGCATAAAAAAACAAGGGTCTAACAAGTCTGATGATATTATCAATTAAGAGGGCCACCTAGGAATTCCAGTCAGGGCCCAAGCATATAATCGTTGGTGGAGTTTCAGACCACAGTATTAGTATAAATCATCACAATAAATTTAGTTGGAGCAGCAAATAATCATTTTTAGTCTATAACTGGGTCTAGCTGGTGCCATATTACCAGGTGCAAGTACAGTCACGTCTTTGAGATGTCAAAGGTTGGCGATTCTACAAGTATTAAAAGACCATAGTCAGTACTACAGTCATCATCATTATCAGTGGGTGTAAGGCTTGTTGGTAAAATGTTGTGGTGTATGTTCTATCTATCTAGATTTTGGACTTGCTTTACAATTTAATTTTTTCCCACCTTTTCTTGTAATTTGTTAAATATAGCAAGTTGTAGTATGGTAGTGGCTTCAAAAATAGGGGTCCAACAAGTCTGATGGTGGTATGAACCAAGAGGACAATCTAGGGCTTCCAGTCAGGTCCCCCGAATATAATCCCTAGTGGGGGTTTTAGACCACAAAATCAGTATAAATAATCACAATATATCTAGTTAGCAAATAATCATTTTCAGTCTAGGGGTTCATACTTCCCTGATGGGCAAAAACTTCCTGCTTGACCCAGCAATATCCTTCACCACAGTGCCACCCCTGTTGGAGCATCTTCGATGTATGTGCTACAAACAGGCTTAATATTTGTAAAGTAAATACAGATCTTCTTAAATAAATTACAACACATATCGATAAATTGTGCCAACTTACTTTATCTGCTACTTTGTCACCTTGATTAAGTTGTGTTAACGATGGATCATCTCTAATTAGGCACACATCTGTTTCTGCACTGAAAACCTGCAAGAGTAAAAAGTTATAACTTCTATAATTGATTCTTACTAATCCCGACATAAAGGTCATCCTATTTCTCTAAAAGGTCAAACCTCCGATTTACGTACTCTCGATTTTACGAACCGAATTTGCGGCAATGACGTCATTACGATAATTTTTAACTACAAAAACACTTTAAAATGTATTTAAAAGTCTTTAGAAATAATTTAAATTGTTAAGCAGCTAAAAGAGAAAACATTCAAACCTATAACTAAGTTTCAAGCATGAAATATCAATCGTTTTCAGCTGAGATATATTTGAGGTGTGCATGCTTGTTCAGTCATACTGTACAGTAAATCGCACTTTCTGATCACTGGAGGTGCTATTCGCATGGATTCGCTATCTTTATAGAAAGAATAACATTATATGCTCATGATATGCTAATGTACAAAGAAAGTATTATTTTGTTGCAAAAAACAGTAAAATCAAAGTCATATTTTGTGACAAACTTTTCCTCCCATGGCAAGGCTTAGGCCTACTTAGCCCTGTACTTTATAGCATAGGCTTAGAACTCTCTGAATTATGAATTTCCTCATTTACGAACTTTGTTCGGACAGACGGGTACGTAATTGGGAGATGTTACTCTTTTATTATTATTATTTCTCAATTAATTATTATCTAATAAAATTATTAAATATATAATGTATCATTCTATGAGGATTCTGCAAGACCATTACAACAATGATAAGCAAATATGTTCATGTTAATAGAAAATAGATAAAGGTATAATGTTTGTGCAGTAGAGTCAAAATGTGCATTTACCCTTAAATATGTATCACCTATGAATAGCTTAAATACTACTGAAAGACAATTAACTAATATTTTGTTGGACGAATGAGGCGTTCTTTTTAAAAGAACAATGATAATAGCCTGTTTACCTAAATAAGTATTCACAAAACAGACTTAAAAATGCATGTTACACTATTACAATATAACTTACAATATTTTCAAACACTGGTTTCATGAACGAACCATGAACAACCAACATTCGCTGGTCGGAATCATTGTAAAATCTGGAACACATGATTGGAATAGGTTTTGGCATTTCATTCTGAGAGCCTTGTGTGGCCACCTGTACTGTACTCCTGTGGCTAAGAGGCTTTTTACTCCTCCTAAATATAAAAATGTGAAAGATGAAAAATGACCATTAGGTAGGTATTCAAAATTCTATGAAATATTTACATATACAGAATCACATAATATTTTTTGAGTATATCAAGTCACAGTTGTTGTTGCATATCATGTCAGCTGTTGTATTCAATTCAAAAATAATATATAATTCAATCCTCTAGTTTTTCTCAACCTAGGGACTTAAAGACCAAATTAAAGATTACATTGTCATCTGTGTACATATATCAATAACTCATTTTTCATACCTCAGACAAATTGTGGTTGTGGTTTTATCAGTCAAAGCTGATTATGAGTGGTGCACGGTTTGTCATCATGGGCATATAAATATCTGTTCTGACAGTTAATGTGCTACACCACCAATGGCGATGAATATGGTGGTTACACAGTACACTCTAGGAAAAGAGTAGGGAATTGTCTCCTAGTGTGCAATTCACAATCAGAACCCCACAGGAAATAAGTCTTCATATTTGTGTAGGATATCCGTAAATGCTTAAATAAGCGCAGCGGCGCTTAAACATTTTTTTGAGGTTTTAATATGGTGCTTATTTGAGAGTGGTGCTTATTCGAGAACAAAAGCTGTCAACTTACCCATTCAAAACAGGATCAAATATGTGCACCTGACCAGACTTAGTCACAACTGATACAAAGATGTGCTGAAATAAAGAAAGTAAAAAAACACAATCAAAACACTGTCCTCACTCTCACTCAATACACATTACAGTTGTGTAAACTTTGCCTATATTTTGCCTAACCATTATTAAGCAATTAGTAGAGCTCCGCATTGTACACTATAGGAAAATTATTATACGAAAGTTAGATTTAATGCTTAAAAAAAATTTTTTCCTTGAGTCTTTAAAATAGGTCTAGAATATTCCTATTAAACGTTCAGTTTGTTTAGTCTGTTTGGGTTCACTGATTCAAGGAATTCCTTAATTATTCATACTTAATATTAAATTTGAAGTAACTTTCTCCGGGTTCTAATTAACCTTGTTTTATGAAATTAATTTTCAATTACAATTCAATTTTCAATTACAATTCAATTTTCACCGTGGTGCGCGATATCTTCAGGGTGATGAAAAAAAATGAGGATTTTTTTCTTTTGCACACGAATCGAAAAAAAAAATCAAGCCAAGCGTCCACTTTTGAAAAATTATTGGACTGCGGGGGATAGGCAAATAACATTGGGAGTTGCAGTGATGACGTCATGATTGACTTATAATAGGTTATAGTGGGTCACCAGAAAAACCTCAGACAAATTGTGGTTGTGGTTTTATCAGTCAAAGCTGATTTATGAGTGGTGCACGGTTTGTCATCATGGGTAACTGAATCAATGACGGTAGAAAAGTCGGGCACAGGCTTCAACAAGGTTGGCAACAAATTGTTTTTTATCATGATCTGCTCATATTGCCACTGATAAAATCAGAAGACAGGTTAACGCCAAGTGCTCCCAGACAGCAGGATGGATCCTGGCCGTGGAATTCCTACATAACTAGATTATGATAACGTCAACTGCTTAGCTACTTACTGGTTCTGAATCCAACTTGTTTGAAATGGTTAACTGTGTTGGTTCATCAGGCAATGTGAATTGCACAATTGAACTTTTATTTTTTGATGCTGCTTTTATTTGCCTATGGAAAGAAAAACACACACAAAAAAAAAAAATAACAATTGCTAAAAAGGTGGTTGCTAGAATTGTGATTTTCGCTTTTAAAATTGTTTTCCCCCGATACATATGCCTCCAATCAGTGATGGCTTCAGAAATTAGCCCACAAGGGTCCAAAAATTCTGAAAAAGGAGATAGCTAGAGCATCCATTAAATTAAAGTTTCCCTGTGGAGAGGGTTTAGCAATTAAAAGAGCCAGCTTCACTATTTTCACCAATATGCTCAGTCAAACATACATGATCGTCAAATTGACCTCAGACAAGTTGTGGTTGTGGTTTTATCAGTCAAGGCTAATTATGAGTGGTGCACGGTTTGTCATCATGGGCTGAACGATCAAAATAGCAAATGAATTTTTTCCCCCCTCTAATAAATCAGTCTCTCGCCAATAAGATTAAATACCAATAAAATTAATAACAACAACAATAAAAATAATACATAAAAAAATAAATAAATATAATAAGTACAAATATCAATCAATATCATACCAGACATTTATGATTCTATCACCGACTGCCATTGACATAAAGTAACATCCATCCACAGATTCTAACACTGATGTATCGTCATCATCGTTGGTGGTGTTGTTAAGGGAAACCATTTTGAGACTGCTCACTGAGGATGCATGTCCTGTGAATTTCTGTAAATAAAAAAAAAAATCGAAAAATAGTCATATATGTCACCAGACACCATAACGTACATTATTCTCTTACAAGCAAGGTACACATAAACACCATATGGAAACGGTTGTAACTCAGATGCTCAAAATCAAACTTAAGGTCAAGGGTTAAAAACCTTCACTGTGTAAGGTGTTTATCCCAGGAGTACAAGTGGGTACTTATGTATGTTAAAAACACGGTGTCATAATATTGAAAACTCCAATGAGGGCAATATAGTAAGATAGAAATTTTTAATAATTAATTGTTTATTTGTACAAAATTAAAATGTGTTAAAATTGAAAAAAAAAGTCTTAAAATTAAAAAACAAAAAAATCCCAAGATGCGATTTAAAACCACGACCTTTTGTTCCTTAGAACACTTCGTTAACTGAGTGTCATATTAGTGGTAATGGCAGTAATGTACAATTCTTACTGAAACCCCTGTTTTGTTCTGTAGGTGTATGGGCCACCCTAGGGTCCAATTTAAAAAAAGGGCCATGAACGTTTGTTGGAAATCCTGTCTAGTTTATGTGTACAAAATTTCCTACACGTCTGTTCAAAACTGGCGATGCGGACCTGAAAAAATCTATTCATCAATCAGCAGTATAACAGAGGCAGTAGAGTATATTGGCCCTAATGGCTGCCCATACGAAAAAGATCTATTAATCAAATGAGCCGAGTACTCCTAGAGCTCCTCATCAGAGCTAAAAAATGGTGGAAGTTGTTTGGCTCTATTACAATCATTAACTATAATATTTGAATTACTATTACTTACCTTTAATACTTCTTTAGTTTCTAAATCCCATACTTGGATAGTTCTACCAGCTGAGATTATTATTTTACCACAGGGACTGATACACATCGAATTAACTGAGCTCTTATCGGCTTTCCATTTACTGATGAGATAAAAAAATAAATGGCTCAACTCATTTACAGGACATTGGTACAGGTTTTAAATATGAAAAGTGAACAGTGGTTTGGAGCAATGCTGTCTAAACACTCTTTGGTGGGCCCCCTTTTTAAGAGAGTAAAAGTATTTTTTGTCGTTGATTTTTTTGTTCTTATATGGCGTATACAGATAGTTTGATATGTAATATACAATTAAATAACAATAAATGTGATTGGAACAATGGTATAGTATCATAAAATTTGTTGGTGGAGCAGTAGACACATTCAGCATCATGATACAGTCAGAGTAAGACGTGATATTGTGAGCTCCCTGTTAACTATTCATTAATTTGTCCTTTTAAATCTCTTGTCAAGGGCCAGGAGGATATTAGAGAGTAAATCGTATTCAACTCAGCTCGAATAACCAAACTGGAGAAGAAATATGAAGTGAATAAATGAACCATTGATACACATTTCCTAGCTTGGGGAGGCACTTCGTCCCTCAAATTCATGGGTCGAAAAGGTTTTCTTCCACGAGGTAATGGCTCCTCTTTTAAATAAGGCGAAAATGTAGTGATGACCCTCGCAGGGACAGCGTATTACTAATACACGTGTAATGCCCAGCGAACCGAAAAAGACAGAACACTTCAAGTCCAGAGCTTGTACAGCAAACAGTGCAATCACTCTATATACACCATTGTATCATAGCTATGAGAGAAATATATACTGTTATAGGTAAGTACCGACAATTTTGACTTAAGCGAGTCCTGCATGTTGTATGGCACACGAGATATGGCCAATGAAAGTGAAAGACCAATGGTGCTTTGACAGACCTGAGAAAGCCAAGGTGCGATGGATGTGCAATATCTCCTATAAAAACAAGATTCCCTCAGCAGGGCTCCTAACCAGACTAGGGATCGAGGACATAGACACTGTTCTCAGAAGAGGATGTCTTAGATGATTTGGACACGTCACCCGCATGGGGGTAGGCCACGAAAGACATGAAAAGAAGTAATTGGTTTGGGACCTGATATTTATGGAATTAAAAGAAAAGAGCAGATGAACTCCTCTGAGCCAACTGCCAAGCCATACTTAGTTTAAGGAGAATTAGTCTTTAGGGTTAGATTAAGTATTACTTTCTTGGTCCATTTTTCCATGCCGATGTTTAGCGCATAAAAAAAAAGAAGCACTTAAGCGGAAATGATGATGATGACCTACCATTTGACCTTTCCATCTCTAACGTTCCACTGGACAATGTGCTGATCATCTGAACAACTAAACAAGGTGTTGTCCTTTGGGTGCCAACACAAATCGTTTACCGTATCATCATGTCCTCCATCCTAAAAACACAAAATAATTTAATAACACTGGAGTTACCATGTACAGTATAACATGAATACCCACTATATGATTTATTTTATCATTAAGTTTTCATAAATTATGTATAATGAAATTAGAGTAAAATGGTGTCAAGGATGTTCTTACCAATTTACTCAATAAATCTCCCTTCAATACACTGTAAAGTAATATACTCCCACTAGATGTTCCCATGGCAATAATCTCAATGTCTTTCTCATTGCTTCTCTTTTCTGATTTCCTCCTCTTTCTCTTCGGACCATCCTGGAAAAATATTTTAATCAAAGATTCATTTTCATGACAAACTATCACAGTTCTACTTTAGGAAACTACATACGACTGATTGTTAGGAAAGTGGTAGCTAAAAGTACTGGAAGAAAAAAGTTAATAAGCTGACAGGCAGTTTTAATCACCATAGTAGAAAAAAAAACAACAAATGAATAATGAATGTTTTCCTCCCATGAGTACAAAACAATTTCACATATAAAAACACTTCAAAACAAATTATTTTGTAACAATAACAGTAAATGTGGAAAAGACAAGCCAAACCAGTCACTTGTCGAAAAAACTGATTTTTAGTTATTAATACATGGTTAACAAGTAAAGTAAAATGAGAGCTATAAAATGGTAAAAGAATCATTTAAATCCGACATTTCCTTATGACATTACAAGCGTTTAAAAGATACAGCTCTGTTTAAAGAACAACATTTGAGAATCAGTCTCAAAAGTGTATGATTTCGGGATTTTCTCAGGCAGAAATCATCACCAAATTGTTAAAAATTGTTATTTTAACATTGAGAAAATAACAGTATAGATATATGAAGGTTAGTTTAGTGCAATAAAATTGTTTTAAAAAACGTTGACATTCTTGCATGTTTTGGCCATTATCTCTAAAACACGATTTGTGACGAGTGACTAGTTTGGATCGTCTAATGGAATCAGTGCCCATTGACACAGCATGTCATCACAACATGCAATAAACTTCATAATAACAATTACAATAAAAATTACATATATTAGGCTAAAAAAAAAAAAAAAAAAAATACTTGTTTAGTGTCATCACCCCTACCTGAATTTTCAAGCAAAATATAAAGTTTAGAGGTAGGAATTATCTTTTTTAATTAAAAAATAAATGAATATTGTCCAGAAAATTCTAATCAAAATAAGTATAGACCTATTTTAAGTGAATTAAAACAATGATTTCACCAACTAGGTGTAATATTTATTGTAGGCCTACTGAAAACGATTAATTTTAACACATTTTATTTGATTACTGATACTTGAAGTAGGAAAAAAACCCCAAAAAACCGCCCCTCCCCACCTAAAATAGTGTTGTGACGCTAAACAAGTAATTTTTTTTATTTGGCCTTACATAACTCAAACCAGACTGCAAAGCAAGGCCTAAGCGGGAAATACATCCTCTGTCTGTGTGCCATTATATCCATAAGTGAATTTGGGAAAATAAGGTCCAATTTCCATGCAGATATTACCAAAAATTAGGCTTTCGCCTAATCTTGATACATAACCAATGCGTTATGCAGTAATTATGGTTCTACACACCTATTTTCCTAGTGATTTTCCATGCAAATCTGAGCTGGTTTTTAAGGCATTACAGTGTTCTCCCCAATAAGCTGTAATGGCCCCCTTACAGCTTGATTCAGAAAAAAAGTTTACTGTTACATCTTTCTTGTGTCAATTGCTACACAATTAAATGTTTATTAAATGTTGCCTTATATTTTTTTAATGAATTATTATAATCTATTAGATCTACATGCAAGTTTGCTATGTCAAAAATGAGCCCCACCACATAGTGCCACACATGTTTGGCTGTGGTATATTGGGCTATGATTTGGGTTCATATTTTTAGGTCATTAAATTCTTTGTGGCACCACACACCCAAGTCAGTCTATTGTCATCGTCACCAAATGTCAAGCTTCTAATAAGCTATCTATAATGGTACTGGATACAAGGAAATTCCTTGCATTTTAAATTTTTTGTCACGTACCTAGACTAAGTGTAGAGTCGTTTCGGCCCTAAGTCGATTCGGCCCCGGGTTGTTTCGGCCCTGAGTCGTTTTGGCCCCAACTTTGTATTTTTGCCATGCATTTCGGCCACGGTGTATGGAGCGCCGAAAGTGCGGCCGCGAATAATAATTTAATAGAACAATTTGGCTAAGCAGCATACCGTTTGTTAAACATGAAACTTAGGCTATATTACTGCAACATTATCAGATATTAACAATTCTTTTTAGTAGTATTTTAAAATTATTATTAATATTATTATATTATTAATGTTATTATTCTTATTATTAAAGAGTTCATTGCAGTATCAAATGGAGTTATCTTTCTTTTTACAGAAACAACGTAAATGTTACAAGTCGATTGGTTTGGAGACACGTTTCTTTTTATCGTTTCCATACGATATATATTTGGATCATATTTATAAATGCTTCAAATAAAATTTAGATATATAAAATAAAACAGGCTTAGAGTTAATTTAGCGGCTTAGTTTGTCATAAGCTTTTGTTTTTGTTTGTTTGTTGCATCTCCATTTACATTACCAAAATGTTCGATTTATAACAATACATAGGCCTATATAAAATAAATTAAAATATACTGAATAATGTGATAATGAAAATAAAGCAAATATATTATTGTATTCATAAGGCCGACAAAATCACTCATTGCATAGAAATTAACTAAAGAAATTATTAACTACAGTATAATTTCTTTTTTTAATTTTTTTTTTTTTTTTTATATTATTGTGACCGAGTTGACTTGTGGCCGAGTTGACTTGTGGTCGAGTTGACTGCAGCCGAACTTTTTATGGCCGAGTTGACTTGTGGCCGAGTTGACTGTGGCCGAGTTGACTTGTGGCCGAGTTGACCTGCACCCGACCACTTCTAGCCCAGATCGTTTCGGCCCAAAAAGGGCCGAAATGTCCCGGCCGAATCGACCCAGGTTGGAAACGACCCGGAACCTCTAGAGCCTAGCCTAGGCCTAATTTTGTATGTATGTATTATGAATAATGTTTGTTTTGTTGGTGTACAGTAACAGCTTAACTGCACTGATTTGTTAATAACAACTAGGCCTTATACCATCCAGTAATAAGTATACTGCAGCTAGCTTAGCTTAGGCCAGCCGATAAGCAACCAATCCATGTTTACACACTACACCGCCCAAACCACGCTCCGCGAGAAAACCATGCATCAGACGATCTTCATATTGAAAACGTACCTCAACATCATGCTTAATTGCACTCCATGAAATGCATGTACACGTTGCTGAAAGGTGTGAACTTGGGGTATATTGTTGTCTAGGGATACCTGTGATAGTATCCCAAATTGTAAGCCTTCCATCTGGGCTAGAAACAGCTAAACAGCCACCATTTGGTGACAAAATGCAGGTTTTCGACGCCATTTTCCGTTCCCACGTGTAGTGTACTACGCATGCCCACAATGTATTTTAATCAAAAGCAACTAGCTGAGTATTTTCATGAAAATAGTGTTGAGAAATAAATTCCATCAAGAGAAAAAAATCAAGAATATTTAGCGCCATCTATGATATGTTGTGAGTCATCCCTGGGTCACCCACTCGTCATTTTTTTTTCTTGTGGTTTTCGGTTTTTTGTAGTATCAAACCTCGGTTGTTCGCAGCTGATTTTTACTTTTGGTGCCCAAGATTGTGTCAAAATGCCTCTAGAGAGCATCTGCGACGATTATTTCTCTTCCATTAATCCCATTGCTCATAAGATTATTACGGAAAAACGAGACAAAATCGAGGATTACGGTTTAGAGAGATGGGACACATTCTGTCTCTTATACACATCTAGATGTGTATAAGAGACAGGATATAGTATGGCTTTGATAATATTCTATTAGACTTTGGAAGATCTTAACTAAGGTGATATGATGTCTCGGATATGATTTGTGTAATAGCGCCTAGAAATTCTGAGTAATGTTCATTCTTTTTTACACTGGTAGATGGCTTTATTTTCAATCTTTTCTATGTCAATGTCAGTTGTATTAAAAGTACAATGCACTATAATACTATAGATTACCAGGTTAAAGTATGTCCTTTACACTTTTTCAAGTTCATGATGACTCAATCTTCAACTAGATCCAGTCGCTCCATAGAGTACATACCTTCACCCTCTGTCTGAATTCCAGCTATACGCAAGCTCTGTATGATGGTTGAAACTGCAGCATACCCTCAAGAAAGTAATACTAATCATCTACATTACATTATTTTCTTGAGCGCTACCTGAATACAAGGGGAAATTTCATTATTTTCTTTAATGCTTGAGGGTAAAAACATCAAATTTTCACCTTGTCCTTTGACATTTTCTTCCGAAAGTTGAATGCTGTCTTTCTTTGATTAATATCATATACCATTCCACTAAAATTTATGATGATCCATTCATTAGTTTTTGCGTAATCTGGCTAACAGGCAGACATCGCTGAATGCGTCCTTCATTGGTGGAGGTTTAACAATATAATACGAGCATACTTCCTGGGAGTTAATTTTGTTTATGTGTGGGGAATGGGGAGAGGGAACTAAATCTTTATCATGATTAAGCCTGACCTTTAAACTGGAAACCTGTTGAGGTTTGTGAGTCCCCCAAAACACATTGATATGGTTTGAAATTCAATTTTTGGTTTTGCCAGCTGTTAAAGCAAGAGTCAACTTAAGGTCTGTCCACACTATCAAATTTTCTTTGACAAAAAACTGTTGTATGCCCATATATAGTCATGATGTGCCTATATATGGTCATGATGTGCCTATATATGGTCATGATGTGATGTCATCATGACCATAATTTAAGCATGTCACATGTTTTTTTCAGATAAAATTTGATAGTCTGGACAGCGCTTTAAATGAATTTCCCTGATAGGTAGTATGCTACAATATTACCAGTAAACTGGTACTGGTAATGGATATTTATATTGCACCTTCTTTTGCATTTACTGTATGAAGTGCAAGCCAAGCCTCAATTATTTAGGAAAACAGTGGCAGGCATGAAATTGGTCATCATTCAGGAACCCCATGCATCAGTCTCACAAACAAAGACCAACAAGTGTTATAGACAATAAACCAATCTATATTGTCAATAATATTAAGGTAATATTTTCTTTGCAGTGCCAACAAAAGATTCCTCTGCCAACGACAGAAAACATGAGCAGGATGCTTCCAAGAGAAAATGAACTACTGGATTCAGGATGGAAAGAAGAGACTGTAGATGGATTAGAAGAGCCTTTAATGACAGACTTTGGCAAAGATTTCTCATTGAGTGCCTTGACATCTGCTTCGGGTGATTGGGCGAACACTTCTTCCTGTTCTCGAGAGAGACTCATTGACGAATCAAGAAATGTCGCTCCAAGCGATTATCGTGTGCGAAATGTCCAGGAAAATTTAAAATTAGATTTGAAGTCTTCATTTGATAATTCTTCTCCGTCAAATAGGAAAGAGAGAAGTCCAAAAAGAGAAAAGAAATCGCCAAGAGCTTCAAAACGTAGCAGTAGCAAAGGATCAGTATCTCCAAAACGGGAGTCTTACAAGAATAAAAATTACTCGGAGAATAAGGCAGAATTTGAATCGCCTTCTTCGCCACTATCAATGGATTTTCCGTCCGTTACAGATTCTCTGCTTCCTAAACAAGGATTAACATACCATCAGGACAAACCAACATGGACAGAAGAACCAAAAACGAGGGTTATTACCCAGCAACCGACAAGCTGGAATGAGAATCCAATGTTTATAGGGAATGCACTGACAAACGGTATCAAGGCAGAAGTGAGCAAACCTGCTGAAAGTGCTGCTGAACAAGCACCTGAAATTGATATTGACCAATTCACCTTTGACACTTCACCTTCAAAAGATAAACCTCTTAAGTTCACAGATTTTATGGGAGATGAAACAGAGGTTAGTTGATCTTTCATTCAAGTATTAATTCTAATTATTTTGTGAAACAAATTGGGTATCCAATTGAAAGGTTGGGAGTTCAAGTCTTAAAGTGGTTCCACCCACCCTGGAATATTAAAGTGGTTCCACCCACCCTGGAATATTAAAGTGGTTCCATCCACCCTGGAATATTAAAGTGGTTGGTCGTTAAACTGCTATAATTTAAAGCCCCATTCCCGGCAAAATTTCACTAAAAACAGATTATTTTTTTTTAGAAAAGGTGCATATATGCATTACTCCAATTATTATAAATCATGGAAAAATATTGGCATACATTTTAGTTTTAGGCAAAAGAATTAAAAAAAAATGAAAAATACAGACTATTTCTCAAGAATATTACCATTTTCTCTACGAATTCTTCGTTACTAGGCAAATTCGGAGGTTGTAGAACGCATCCGCTGGAATACTCTCGCTTTTATGTATACTTTGTACGGTCAATAAAGTGCGCCCTCTCTAATGGATTAGTTTTTGTACTTCGTATCTCGCACAATGTGGTCGTTCGAGTAGGCCTGAGATATGTTTGTCTAAGTGTCAAAATCTCGGTCAGGATAAGTTTTTTAACAAATTTGAAATGATACCTATGAAATATTATATTTCACAAGTACTAGCAACGGAAATATGTCGGCCGTTTTTATGTGTGATAAAAGAACCTAAATCGAGGTAAGGCTAGGCCTAACCTAGCAGTGTTGGATAGACTAATGTTTTCGGCGCCTACAATATTTCTTCTTACGACCTATCGCAAAATCAAACATGAAAAATTCATCCGCATTTATTTTTTGTGTGGAACACAAAATCAAATTTCAGTCTTATTTTACATTTTTTGCATGCTTAGGAATGTCAAAATTTAGTTAAACTAACAATTCCGTATTATATTTATAAATCTTTATAACATTATACAAAAATTAGATTTTTCTTAACAACTGAAATTTTGCCGGGAATGAGGCTTTAAGTGGAAGGTGCAAATGCTAATGAGATAGGTGCAACATTACTGAACATTTCTTCAGGTAGCTAATGAACCTTTTTTCGAGTGTCAACTAACCAATCAGAATGGGATCAGAAACACATGCACATCCCACAAAAATGTGTTTATGTAGTTACGCTGACATTTAATGGGAACTTCTTAGCAACAAAATCTAAGGGGTGGGGCTTAGTGTAAATGTCCATTATGTGTTACTCTGGCATTTGGATAATAACATGAAGTGCATTATACTCGATATAATACCAACATATTAAAATATTTTACTGGTAATGTTTTATGACACAATAAATCATCAAACTAATAAAAATTGACATTTGATTTATCTCGACATTGCTGTTTTATTTCTTCTCAATTTTTTCTCTTCAGGAAAAGCCAGCAGCGGGTGGATTCTCTGGTGCTGAGGGTGATGGTGCTGCATACAATTTCCTTCTGGATTGGTAGAGCAACAATTACAAGACTATATACGTTTTCTTTTTTTGTCAAGGTACTCTATGAGTGGATGCTTGTGTACCTTACAAGTGATTATGTAAAGTTGGTAAAAGCCACTTCTGGGAGCTTTCTCAAGACGTCTAATAATATTTTGCTGCATATCATGGTACACATAACCAGCTGACTTTGGGAGACAATAATACAGTAGTAAAAGCACTCATCAAAGTGTCAATAATGGGTTAGTATTCAGGAAATGCTTGCTTATTCATGTGAGTGCAGGAATCGTGCCGATTACAGAAACCTCCCTCAACTTGTAGGAGACCCCTGCTAATATATTTATTTGCTTCAATTTATACTTCAATGATCATTTGTATGTAAAATATCTACATCATTATAATTGGTTAATATGCTGTGCTATATAATTTAGAGCAAATTATTCTGTATAAGTCAGTGGTGACGTCATCAGTTTCATTTTCACTAAATTTTTTGCGTCTCGTATGCAAAAAGCTCAAAACTGTAGTGATTTTAGTACAATTTCATCGTGATGAAGGAATATTTCGTTGCTTGGCGAAGCTATGAACGCACACAGCAAACCTAACAAATCTCACTCTACGGCGCTGGTTAACTTGAATGAAGTCTAGACCGTCCTAGACAAGGCCTAGAAAGGCATAATGGTTATGAGATAACAAGGTGATTGACTTATAAAAGAACTGAAAAAATAAGGCAACACTGAAATAATTCATAATAATGTTTACAATACAATTTAATCTATTAAACAAGTGTCTACCAGGAGGTTAGGCCTACCTTATAATAACCCTTAGTAAATAAACCACAATCAATTTATTCATCTTCTTTGTATCGCGAAGATCTGCGAAGTGTCAGTGGTCATGCTACTACCAAATCATTCTAATATGCGCAGCCACGGCAAACAGCAGTTTAATTTACAAATATAAAGGGCCATATAAAAGGTAATGGACGTCACAACTGACTTATAAAGCAATTATAGTCAAGTAATTTTGTACACAGTAGGAAATACAAGCCTTAGAAGCCATTATTTCCTTTATTTCTCCTTCAGTTTCTATTTCCTACTGTGTACTCAAAACCTGACTATACTGTAATTGCTTATTATATACAAAGAAATATGTAATTTTAGTAAACAGTTATTGGATTGATAAACAAAAGTTTCAGAACTTGACTCATATATTCTCCTTTTTTATATTTTATTTAACCAAATTATTACTAGTGTATTATCATTATTATTTAATTAAAATTCTGTTCATTTGTATTACATACAATATACTCTTCATTTAATCAGGTAAATATTTATATTTTATTAGTATTATAAGCTTAATTTTAAACATGATTTTTGGGGTCCCTAGTTGGGAGGACCCACTTCTAAGGGATTGATTTAATGAGCTTTCCTAATACATCTCATTGTGTATTGCTGCATGTGTGGTACCCATGGTGAGGGTACTGCAGGGGGACAATTGATAAGCAGTAATAAAAACATGAAAGCATAAAGAATTTGCAAGAGATGGGTTAGTTTCCTGGAGAATTTTGCTTGCTTGCAGAAGTGCGGGAATTACATTTCATTTATTTAGTATTATGTTTAAAATTTATGTGCAATTTAAGTTGCTGATTACATTGTAACAGCATTAGATAATAACTGGCAACCTTTTGAAATCTTGGAATTATATTTATTATTGCTAAAAGGAACTATTGAATAAGAATGTGTAAAAAAATCCATCTGGTTCCTAATTAACTATTTAAATAAATGAAATGATTGTGATAAAATAACAATAATGACAATGAACCATATTAATTTATTGTGTTTCATATTCATGTGAACTTTAGGATACAATACAGTACTGTATTTGGATTATTATAGTAGTACATAGAATGTATGTTACACCCTCTATAGTCAGCTATTGTGATTATTACATTAGATTATCTAGGTTGACCTAAGCACAGGTCATATCTAGGTACTGTATATGGTCACGCATCATATCTGGGTACTGGTACGTGATGGTCTTTGGGTTCAGTCATATTGACTTCATCATATATTCAGGATGAGTATTAGTGAATCTAGGACAATAAAGCTTAATCTAATTTAATCCATACATGAAAGGTATTGTGTTCTAAAGTGACCAAAAGATAAAAATCTCAAATCAAGCTAAAATAAGAAAGGTTTATATTGCCCAAACTGTACTGATCCAATAATATATTAAAAATCTAGGTGTTTTTTTTTTCTCTCTTTTTGCTGCAGAAATAGCATAAAAATAACATAAAAAAAGTATTTTGATTTTCATAAATTATTTTGTTCAATTAATAATGAATGAAAATTTACCAATGGAAATGCATGGTGTGAATGATTTCTAGCAACGAATCAAGAAATATGTCTAGGCCAATAATAAAAGCACAGACCCTGTGTAAAAAAAAGGAAAATTACAACCAACTGACCCAGATGTCCAATACTGTCATTGTACTAGGTAATTTTTTAGTGTAAGCAGTGTCCTGAATATTAATGTCATGGTCATTTAAAATTATTGTGACATTTTGTTGAAGCATTGGTGGAGTTTAAGGTTACAGTCTTTTATTCAGATTAGGCTGAAAACAAAATCATGAGAATTGATTGGAGTAAGCATATAAGCCATCTTTGTTAATTTTACTTTTAAATATTTATATACAAGTTCAACTAATCTTGAATTTAAGTCAAGTTGCATTCTGTAAGAACTGTGTCAAACACTTGAAGAATATGTGTTTAAAAAATATCCAAATGTATTAAGTTGAAAATGTAAAATTGCAGCTTGCCAGCCTGTTTTATGTTCTGTAATTTTATGTACACTGTATTTATTAATGATATTTTATCCATTCATAAATAGTTATATGTTATGTTTTGATTTTAAATTAAATTTTGATTTTTAAATTATATTAATTGGTATTATGAAACAGATTATAAAAAATATGTTTAAAAAAAATAATTTCCTTTTTGTTGATTACATTTAATGAGGTAAACTGTAAACTAATTTCATAATTTAAGTATTAATTATTTAATATTCTTTTTCTGCACCTATCTAAACTAAGTACCTGTATAAACGCTAATCTACTAAGAATAATTATGCGTGGAGGTATTTAGATTTGTTATGTACGTACATGATATCGCATCTCATCATGTGTACATAACAAGATCCCCAAGCAAAAGCCATTGATATTCTTCACCACTGTACAACACTGTATTGCAGTAACTAACAATATCCATGCTGTATATAATGGGTGAAACTGCAGCATACCCTCAATGAAATATTATTTAAGGCACGTTATTTTATTTAGAGCTGCAGCATACCCTGAAAATAAAAATTGAATCGGCCATCCTATTCAGGCACGATGTTTTCTTGAGTGCTGCCTGAATACGTAGGGCAATTCCGTTATTTCGCTGAGGGTTGCTGCAGTTTATGCTCGAGGGTAAAAAATTGAATTTCTTTTATCCTGACCTTGTCCTCTGACCTTTTCTTCCAAAAATTATTCTTTGATTATTATGTAGCATTCCACTAAATTTTATGATTCATTCATTCATTAGTTTTTGCATAATCTTGCTAACAGAGAGCAGTGAATACATAACCTCCTTGACGGAGGTAAATATGGGTCGTACTCTTATTACTTGTAGCATAGCATGATGGCTGTAGCATGACAATCAATCTTAGTTTACTATAGGACCTGTATGGGTAGCAACTAAGTTTGGTTTGAGAGCACTTTTCTTTTAAAATTACTCTTTATTTACCTCAGAATATTTGCAATAGGTGCATCAGGTGTGCTTTTGGCTTTTATCAAAAATGTCTGCATAAATTAATTGCTGTTGAATCAACTCTGTGCCAATCATTTTAGTTAGTAGGTATTAGATCATTCAAAAGGACCAATCAGAATTAAGAATATATGTATGCCATTGGTTGAATGTAAATAAAGTATATGCAAATTATATCCAGAATGATGCAAAAACTGTGTCTATGTATTATGGTAAAGTACTGTAATATTTTTGTGTTTATGTAGAGCTGTCAACAATTTTCAAAATAAAGCCTGTGTTCTATGTCTCGGTGCCCTATTGATGACAGCTTTTGGTGATGCTGAGTGGTCGATGGAAACAGGGAGCCTTCCCAATTGCATTGTGGACAGGAAAATGTTTTTTGATATGTTGTAGAACTGATTTTTCTAAGACACAAAAAGAATATTTGATGAAAAATACGGATTTATTAATATACAGTATTTAAAAACTGGAAGAAAAATGCTGAAAAAGGGATGGTTGTGCCCCTTTATCCCTCAGTTTTTTAATATTCAAAAATCTGTATCTCATTGACCGCTTCTGAGTATTTCATCAAAAAATATGCTCTTCGTGTCTTAGAAAAAACCAGTTCTACAGTACAACATATCAAACAAAATTTCTCCTCTGGAGTCTGGCCTTAAACAATAAAACAGGTTCAGCCTCACAAACAAGGGAAAACAAGCTTGAAATTGGAAACAGCTGGCCAAACCAACCTCAGAACAGAATTTTATCCAACTCATTATTTTGTTTCAACAAAAATTCTGTGTCAACTGAAATAAATCTGAACTTGACCTAATTCAAGAAGACCAAGGATCTTTTATTGTCCAGTGATTATGAGTCACCTGAAGTCTGTATAAACATGGAGGTACAATAAAGCACAATGTGTGCACTAAACTATTTAATTTCAGACAAAAAAACAACCTCAATGACAAAAGTACATATTTCTGAATTTTATTCATTAATCTTGTACTGTACAAGCATGTAGGACATTCTAATTACAATTTCTTAAGTTTATTCAACTAACTACAGTACATCTATTGACTTAAAAAGCTGAAACTTATCTAGAATTCAATTTATATTTTGAGATTGGAAGACAAAATTATAAACTGTTGGAAAACTTAGGTGATTGTAAGAAAATTTAAATAAAAAATCATGGAAAAGTGTTTGTATAAACCATCTGTTTCTTAATATCACTCAAGTACAATGGCCTTATTTTAGCTTCAGGCAGAAAAAATTAGTTCAAATCTCAAAGGACATAAACTTACATACTACAGTCACCTTTTTATTCTTTCACATCTACCTTTGACCTATCAATGACAATAGCCTCATTCAAGTTTCTTTGACAACAATTTTCTGAGTGCATTCTAAGTAAAAGGATTGAAATTTGAGCCTTACTGGTATATGAAGTATTGATCATAAATAACTGACTTAACTAGCAAGATATTTACAGTGTACCTGTGCGATTACAAAGCAATGATAAAATGATGTAGCAGTACTGAAAATGACCGAATAAGTGCCTCTCTTGAATAACTGCCGTATCAGACATGATTTTTTTTACTAAGCGCCGCTCTTGAATACGTGGTGCTGCATTTATTAGAGGTATGAAAAAAAATTATCTGTACAAATGTAATGGGTGAATAGGAAAACTTGCCACAGTACTCCCAATACAGCATTTTAAGTCTGCTACATAAAGCAGCTCATTTAGGAGAGCTCACCCAAGAAAATATTTCACCACTCAGCTATCGTAATAAAAATAAAGGAAACCTTTACTTTTTCTGAAATTTCACTTCGTGGCGGTGGGTGCGCTAATTGTCCAAACATAAAATGTTATTTTTATTGGAAATCATCAATACCAGATAGCACCCATCACTTTCCCATTTCACACCTGACCCCCAATCATCCCCATGTTGATATTCCTGGACACTGATACAAGCATTGAGGGGCAGATCCATGATTTTTTAAATGAGGAAGCACTAGTTTCTAAGAATAGTGCAAATTGAGGGGTGCTAATATGGCAATGCGGCCATAGGAAGGTAAAGTTGATTGGGCAGGATCATCTCGATAAAATTATTCTTAGTATATGCCTGGAAATGTCTGTTTACCCTGTAGTTTATTCTGTTTTACAAAATATATTCTAACATTTTTAATTTGTATTCCATATTTTGTTACGAAAATTTAAAATAGCAGTGGCAAAACAGAGGGCACATGTCCCCCGAGCCCCACCCCAAAAAAAAAAAGAATCCGCCCCTGGCATTTAGCCTGAAACTGTCATTATCAGATCTTCAGCCTTAATTTTATGTAATAAATGTTTCTATTAAAACATAATATTGTCCATTAATTTAGGATGATTAATTTAGCCCTAAACTGAAAATAGGAATACTTTGTTTAATAAGAAACATCATCACAGCTTTTTACAGTAACACTTAATTAAATTTTTTTTTTTGCTTAAATATAAAGTTCACCTTCAAAAATTATTCCAATTTGAGGATTAATAATTCAGATAGCACAACATCATTTGCCTTCCAAAAGGCATAAAATTTATCTTCTGAAAAAGATTAAAAACAGACATAATGCAGCTCATTTAGGAGAGCTCACCCAAGAAAATATTTCACTACTCAGGTATCGTAATAAAAATAAAGGAAACCTTTATTTTTTTCTGAAATTTCACTTTTTCGTGGTGGCGCGTGCGCTAATTGGCCAAACATAAAATGTTATTTTTATTGGAAATCATCAATACCAGATAGCACCCATCACTTTCCCATTTCACGCCTGACCCCCCCAATCATCCCCATGTTGATATTCCTGGACACTGATACAAGCATTCAGGGGCAGATCCATGATTTTTTAAATAAGGAAGCACTAGTTTCTAAGAATAGTGCAAATTGAGGGGTGCTAACATGGCAATGCGGCCATAGGAAGGTAAAGTTGATTGGGCAGGATCATCTCGATAAAATTATTCTTAGTATATGCCTGGAAATGTCTGTTTACCCTGTAGTTTATTCTGTTTTACAAAATATATTCTAACATTTTTAATTTGTATTCCATATTTTGTTACGAAAATTTAAAATAGCAGTGGCAAAACAGAGGGCACATGTCCCCCGAGCCCCACCCCAAAAAAAAAAAGAATCCGCCCCTGGCATTTAGCCTGAAACTGTCATTATCAGATCTTCAGCCTTAATTTTATGTAATAAATGTTTCTATTAAAACATAATATTGTCCATTAATTTAGGATGATTAATTTAGCCCTAAACTGAAAATAGGAATACTTTGTTTAATAAGAAACATCATCACAGCTTTTTACAGTAACACTTAATTAAATTTTTTTTTTTTGCTTAAATATAAAGTTCACCTTCAAAAATTATTCCAATTTGAGGATTAATAATTCAGATAGCACAACATCATTTGCCTTCCAAAAGGCATAAAATTTATCTTCTGAAAAAGATTAAAAACAGATAGAACTTGTAAATTTCATTTGTGCACATCTACGGCAGTAGTATTTCATACATTAATCTGTTTAAGAAAAGTTACATTTCGCTTAAAGTAATTGACATCAATATACAATTCTTAATCTATATTTACAAATATATATAAACAATTCTTAATCTATTTCAATTCAATATGGGCAGTGGCGTATCTAGAAGTCTTGAAATGGGGGGGGGGCTGATGTGGGGCGTGGGGCTCGATGATCAGTTGAGGGGCACTTATTCGCAAAATATGGTGATTATAGGTGATTTTTAACTACTTGACAGTGATTTTTTGGGGGGGGGGGCGAGTATCCCATAGATACGCCACTGAATATGGGATACATCCTCCAATCTAAAACAAATACTTATCATCACAGGACTCAGATAAACGTACTAAAATGTCCCTTGACATTCCCTCAACAATCTCTCAAAAATTAATTGAAGATAATTGTTGGGAAGGGGTTGGGGGAAATAGCTTATTACTGCAAAACAAGCAGGTATAGACCTTTTTAACGAAATTTAAAATGAAAAATTTCCAATAACCTGGCAACTACCACAGGAGGACTTTTAAGAGGCCTACGCACTTCGCCCTACGCAGTTACCAGTGTGCGCGCAGCGCTCTAATGGATAGTAGCTAGCTGCTCAGGCTCCAGACTAGGCCGCTGGAAGTCCCCCAGTGAGTTGCTAGACGTTGGCGGTGCTGTTTTCAAAATAAACCAGAGAAAATGGTCTATTGGTAGAAAACTCTTTGTACCACTGGTAATTACTAGCGAAGAAATTAATTTGGTTTAAATATACCGAAATATAGAAATCTGGAGATTTTTTATGTGATTACCTAATTTCCTTTCTCTTAAACAGGTTTATGGTGTTATAAAGGATGCTTGTATCAGACATTGGATATATGCCCAAGTCAGTATATTGTACATGCAATGCACCAATTCAAGATTTTGGGACATAAACAGGCACGATAAATTTTCAATAATATTCTGAGACATTGATATACAACATTATATAATTCGAAATGATTATACAAATATTTATACCATTAGCATACAATGGTTACTATTTGAGTTATACATAAATCAATGATTAAATTATGCACTTCTAGGTACATTGATGACATAATAACTACCAGCATAGATATGTGAATACTTTAGCAGTAGTAGTAAACAAAAGAATCAAGATGGTACATTGCCAATTATCCTCCAAATCTCATTAGCATAATGCTAATTTAAGTAATAATACACAAATCAGTCAGTTAAACAAAATGATATTTTGCTTTATATTTTCGATTTAAGAAATAGTCTGTTACTAATCTAGGAAAAAAAAAACTCAAATTTAAGCAAAAGATTGAATTGCTTTTAAAGAAGGTTATCAACTTCCAATTAAACATATTAAAAAAATTTAGTATTTGTTGGTTTACATACACCTTTAAAATCCAAACATTCTGCAGTTTTGTGGGTTTATAAAAAGAATATTGGAATGGCAGTATCATTGTTTGGTTCCTTCGTTGGTTTCGTTTTTTCTTTCCTTGGTTTGCCTCAAATTTATTTTTATTCATAAACATTTTTTACACAACCATTTTTTTGTTTTCTTCTCTTGCTTTAATTTTTATTTGAAAAATATGTAGTGACAACTAAATTTTAAAAGGAAGACATTAAAATATTGCAAATAAATAAAATATAACAAGTCTTTTATTAAATCATTTGTGTTATTTCTAAGATGTGTGGTGTTTTTTATCAATTTATGTCCTTTTGGTTCAATTATCAAGGAATTGCAGTTCAAGAAATTTATCTAGTTCTTTTTTAAGAAAATTCGAGAAGACATCTATTCGTTTCAAAGCCAAATTGGATTATAATTTTCTATGCAAATAAAATATAACTGAATAATGTTTATTCAGTTTAAAGTATGTTTATTTTTGGAATTATGTTTGTTTTTTCATATCATTCTTAAGAGGTTTTCTTTAAAAAATTGAATATCATGTCTTTTATATTAACACAGAATATACCTTTGAGATAGAATACAAAAAATTGTACAATTTGTAAAAATTACCAACAACATAATGATACATATGGAATTTGCTCCTGATCCACAAATCAAATAGTCCATTTAAATATTGATTATTGTTTTTTCATTCTATAACTACAGGGGTCCTAGTCCCATTGAAGTAATGTGAGTCTCACAGAAATTGGGACAGCCTCCAACACTCCCACAAGCAAGCAAGGATCTCCCTTAAATTCATAATACTTGCATACATGTTTTAACTACTTTATTATCAATTGTCTTACGGAAATCAGTAATGATGGTTATCTCACACCATGCGAAGCAAAATAAACTTAAAGCTGTTAAGAAAGTTCATTTAATATCCTTAAAGGAATTCCTTCCAACGTGGGACCCTTGAAACTATATCATTGATATCGTTGAGTGATTTACAGAATAACTCAAATTTTACAATCTTCCCTTTGAGGTAATTTGAATTTTAAAAACATAAAGAAATAAATTATCAATTAATTAATTCATCTAAATGTAAGGAAATATGTTATGCAGTGCATATTTAGCTGTTACAATGCTTATTCGTTTTATAAAGCATTTTTTTGTGATGTGAGGACGCCCTCTAACACTAATCTTCAGAAAAGAAAAGATAGTTATAGCTGGTATAATAATTGAATTAGTTATTATTTTTAATATTTATTAGTCAAGGACTTACAAATGATGAATACCTACTTAATCTTTTGTTTACATTGAATTATTTGCTTTTTTTTCAAAACACATTCTTTTATCAAAACATGCTGATTATAACTCAACTCAATATAAAATTCATAAAAGTATATAAAACAATACATACTTATATAATGTTATATTTTTGACAACTAATAATCTTGTTTGTAAATAATATACTGCCATGGTCAGTAAAAAATTATATAATTCCAAATAAGGCGCATAAGGATACACTTTATATACATACTTTTTAAAAGATTATATGAAGATGGTGATAGGGAAAATTGCATTATTTGTGGTTCACTAAGAAAGATGAGAAAATAACCCTACACAATCATTACTGAAGGATTTTATTACATAAAAAAGTAAAAAAAAACAGACCAGAGGGAGAGGATTTGGGTTAATCCAGGGTTTGGCCAATTGCCTCACCCTCCATTCCCATTTTTGTCAGAAATTATATTTATGTCTATGAACATTTTTCCATGGTGATATATTTATGGGCCTAAAAAAACTGTACCTTTTTTTGGACAACTCAACATATTTATACTGTGTTACGTTTGATTTATCACAGACCCTTTTTATGTGATAGAGTTTGAATGGGGTTATTCATTTTGAATAACAGTTACCATGGCAAAACAGTTAGAACATCATGTCACATGGCACTGAGAATGTAAGAGGGCTACGCTGGTAACTAGATGATAGGAACTCACTCAGGTTCACCTTCTTCAACTGACCCTGAAAAAAATATATATAGCAATTAATTAAATAATTTGGGCTATCAAAAACAATGAAAATAATTTAAAATATTAAGAAAAAATACTGGCTTCTATAATCAAATATAAGTAAGAAATAAGTTAAGATATGAAGCAGGAGTAAAAAGAAAATTTAAAAAAAAAAGAGGAAGGAACTTGAACTAGCCCACTGAACTGTGAAGTACTTTTTTTAGCGAAACCACCCCCCCCCCCACTCTTCCCTTTGCATTAAAACCAAAATGAAGATGAAAATCTACTATTTTCATGCTATAATGCTTATGCAGGGATTTCACTGTCACTGTGGCATGTCCCCTCCACACTCCAACCCCTACAAAGTTACATTAATAACAAGTATAGTTAATGATAATAATATGAGATAAAAAAAAAAAAATCTGTAGAATGAAGCCAAACAATTTACAAGTCAGGAAGGAAGCCAAGCTATAGGTTTAACACACATCACTAGATTTGGAATGATCAACTTTCTTAAATTGCCATACATTGCTACATACATTGTACAGGAGAAAGCCCCCATAGGACACCCCTATTAAAGGTCACCCCTATTAAGGAAGACACTTTTCAGCCATGAAATGAAGAAAAGCATATTTTTTAACACTAAGAGCCAACATTCATTAACCACAATCAATTTATTCACCTTCTTCGTATCGCGAAGATCTGTGCGAATAGTGTCAGTGAGCGTACTACCATAGAGAAAAAAACTAAAATCATGCTAATATGCGCACGTACAGTAAATCAAGATAGAAAAGGTGATGGACAACTGACTTATAAAGCAATTATAGTCAAGAAATTTTGTACACTATAGGAAATAGAAGCCTTAGAAGATATCCATTCAAAAATTGCCATTAGCCTTATACGACTTAAGGTCAGGCAATTTTTCAGCAAAAAATGGCTCCTTCCGGCTTATATTTCCTATAGTGTACTCGAAACCTGAATATAATTGCTTATCATATTAGTAAATTTATACACTTTGTACAGTAGTAAACTTTTTTTCTATGCTCATACTGTTTCACTTTGGGAATTACACACACCTGCAAGGTTTGCTTCCTCAATTATCAGGTTTCATGAAAAATCTTAACACATTTCAAGGTCGGTTTTACTTTTCAATGTTGAATATTTGTGTAACTGTACTTGATTTCATAAATTGTCAGTAGTTGTTAGGCAAAGCACTGTTCAGTTGGCGTTTATTCGAGGGAGGCATATTTATTTTGGTGTAAAATGGATACGTATATATACTCAAATAAACACACTTTAATTGCACTGTAAATGTGGAACAATAACACATCATTACTGGTTCGAAAAAAATGCAATTCTACTGGAATAGAACATTATAATAGAGTGTGTTGAAGAAGATGTTGCTTCCATTAGATTTGTCTACAGTAATTTATGGTGGAGGCATTTATTCAAGGGAGGCGTTTATTCCAAATGAGGCTCTGGATGGAGAATTTATTTGAAGGGGGGGGGGGCATGTTTACTTGAATAATAATAAGCAGGGTATTTATTTGAATAAATACGGTAAATATAATGATTAGGAGAAGAAAAACGTCATCTCAGGCACAGAGAACAAGTTAACTCAATCATAGTCCTATATATAAGATAATAATAATGAGAGAGTTTTAGGTTTGTTTATTATGGGTACAAGGGTTAAACAGGCTTTGAACTTTACCTTACTTATAAACATTAATCTTATCTGCAGCGCTCCAGAGGCACATTTCACCCCAATAAAAACGAACTAGAAGCTATTGTAAAATGTACAGGATCTTATAAGTAATCATTAAATTTATCAGGAAAAGTGGAATATTGTATAACAAACAATTTAAATGTAGGTCTACTGCAGGTGATAAAACATAAGTTATAGTATTACAGTATTGTTTTGATATTAATGTTGATATTGAAAAGTGTAAATTATTGTGCTTATTAAGCTAATGATTAACCCGGAAAAAAGAACTGGAGAAAAAAAACAAAAAAAACGGTACAGTACTAGGGATAGTGTAAATTTTTGCTTCGATTCTTTGGAGCCATTCACAATAATCAACATCTTTATGAATGTAGAGTGTGCTTGGGAGAAGGGTCCAGATACATTTGTACACAAATATATGAAAATGTTGGTTGAAATTAACATCAAAGAATGTTTAGCCCTTAGGTTTCCAGCAGTACATACTAAAATAGAGTTCCAAAATCAACATTATTTGAACTACACTTTCAGAAAAAGTATAAAAAAAAAATAGAATTCTCTTTATACACTTTTGAAAATGTTGATAATAAATAGCCCCTTACTATTATGTCCTTTAATTTACTTTTTACCCTGACAAACTGCACTGAATTATCTGTTTACACTAACAAACACTGCCTTAAAGAATAAACAAATACATTGAATATGTTTGTTTGTATTTTGATAATGTAGGGTCCTAGATGGGCTCAGGTATCTGCTAAAGAACTCGCAGTCAATGTTTACCTTTTGTTTAGTGGCTCTTAATTTTCAATCAGTAATAAATCAAGATACCTGTTTTAAAGCCACTATCAATGCTGGTCCAGAAATTGAAAAAACCTGAGTTGAGGATTCGTTGTCCAGAATTTAAGGAAGGGCTTGGTAAAGGGGTAAGTGACCCAGAAATTGAGAGCTGGGGTTGATGGAAATGGTGAGTGAAGGATTTGAGGAGGGTAAATCATACAGACAATGAATGGAGGAATTGGTGGATGTTGTGATTGATTATGGATAAATAAATAGTGAGTGGATGACTGTCCAGAAATTGAGGGAAGCATTTGGTAGAAGAGGGCAAATTGATATAGAAATATTGGAGGTTTGGTAAAGGGGGTCTGTAATCCAGAAATTATGAGAAATATTTGGAGCAGGGTATAAGTGATCCATAAAATGTTGTGAAGCTTGGTGGAGAATGCAAGCAATCAAAAATTTGGACGGATGGTAAAGGGATATGTAGGTTGAGGAATAAGTGGAGGAAATGAATGATCACAGAAAATGGGTGGAAGGGTTGTTGAAGTAAGTGTTAGTTTGTCTCATAACATACAGTAGTAGCTCAGTTGGTAAGCCAACCAATCAGAAATCTCTACTTTAAATCCAAGAAGGGCAAATATATTTTCCCTGGAACTTTTTCCCATACAACCCAATGTGCACCCTCGGAATTCTTGGCACCTTGTGTCACCATTGGAAAAAAAATCACCACTGGACTACTCTGTTCACACTAGCAAATTTCATGTGACAATATGTGTTATGCCAATATTTTGGTGCAGTATAACATCATCACGCCCATATATGGGCACATCACACAAATTTGTCACTTAAAATCCTATAGTGTAGGTAGGGCTTAAAAGTAAGTATAAAGATCATCTTGAAGAAAAATTTGAAGAAATACCATTTTTTGCTTGTGTTTTTCATGCTTGAAATTTCGAAACGGACACGCAGACTTGGCTTCAACGTACTTCCTATAGCTACACGACCTTGGCGGTGGATCAACTGTGTCTGGTGAAAATCTGACATGGTTGCATTTGGATTGGCAGACTGCCTCTTGTAAATCATCCCCTCCTGATATTGTCGCACTCCGACGGCGATGCTTGTGCATGAGACAGGAGTGCAGACCCTCTGGTGGCGTCATTGGCCACCTCGGCTCATGTAGAACCGAGGCCGAACATGCTCCGGAGCTTTTGAATGGTATTTCTAATGGATCTGATGTGGATTCATTTTTCTCCTCAACTTTTTCTGTTGAACTGTCATCCTCTTCATTGGATATCTCTTTTTCATCATTAGCTACTTTTTCATCCTCTTTATCCTCTGTATTCATGTCATCGTAATCTTCCTGATGATGCTTTGAGCGGAAAAAACTTGGCATTTTTAACGACAACTTTGATTTTGTTTTCTTCTTTACTGGGTTTCCATTGCCATCCTTTTGTGTTACCAATTCCAAGTCTGAAAAAGACATGGTTTTAGACTACCATACAAACAAAGATCTGAAAGTCAAAATAACAAAACAAATTTAGTATTTCATATTTTTAAAAGATCAGCATACACAAAGAAACCAGGCTCAAATTTTAGAAAGGAAAAAAATGAACAAGTGCATATGGCAAGAAACAATTTAGGACTGGGTAGAAGCCCTACTACTATGGGACTACTACAGTACTAGGCCATATATAAAATAGTACACCCTATTTCAATTTATATTTACACACACTGAGACAATCTGTTCTTGTCTTTCCACAGGGCCAAGTTCAAAAAGACTAAAAACCCCAAAAGATCTACAGTGACACTAAGCAGAAAAATGAAAATCACAACCTTACCTAGTTTAGATGGTTCACTTAACTTAGTGCACAACCGCCTTAGCAAAGAAAAGTGTACTTACTGTACGTGACAACAACCACGAAAACGGGCCTACACAACCAGACCACAAAAAAACAACATTCGCGCACTACTACCTAGTTCTCTCCAGCCTACTCAGTTATTAATTACGAAATTTAGTAGGCAGGAAATGTCTCACTACTCACCAATCTAACACTATCAGCACGAAAATATCTTTTTATTTCGGAGCAACTATACCCGAAACTCTCGTCGCATGAATATGATAGCTCTACTAGCAGAAATTACATCAAAATATTGTACTACGGTTCTACACGCTTTCTTCTGGCCTTGTTGTTTACAATTTGGTCAGAGAAAGGGGAGGGACCTGGGAAATAGGTTAATGTATGCATGCAGCGCACACTTCACAAAGGTCAAATCACACGAGGGCGCAATCATATCTAAATTAAGAGCAAAATGGCAGCGCCCAGGTGTATTGAAAACCTTGAAAAAATGAAGAAAGAATGTGTAAAAGTAGATGGCTATCACACAAATTCTAGCATTGAACAGGTAATTTAACTACAACAATATTTTGACAGTAATGTGCATCGGAGAGTCACCCAAACAAATGTCGGCGCTAAGCTAACAATAGGCCTCTAATCATAAGTAGGCCTAGGCCTAGGCCTACTACAGGCTAGGGCCCTACCCTAGGCCTAGGCCTAGCTAGCTAGGTAGGCTGTCTAGCCTAGGCCTAGGTAGAGTAGTAGTAGTAGTTGTAGGAGGCTAGACTAGAGTGGTATAGTAGTACTAGGCCTAGAGTAGTAGGAGAGGTACCTAGGAGCTAGAGTCTCAGTAGGCCCAGCATTATCGATGCCTAGGCTAGGCATCGATAATGTAGGCCTACTGTTACTGTAGCCTGTCGCAGCCTACCTAGACCTTGGCCAGTCGGTGTCCGAGATGGATCGGTACTATTATGTGTTATAAAATTGGTAGGGCTATGAATGTTTGTTTGTTTGTAGTGCCAGGCGGCAGGGACTCACCTGATCACATCAACATCTAGGACGTCCAATCAAGGGACCCCCGGGTCTAGGTGACGTCACATGCTCTACCTATCTAATAGAATAGGCTGGCACCAAGATGAGTCAAGAGAGTTGAAGCCCAGATACCAAACTGAAAGGGCGTACAATAATACAAACGAGCATAGGAAAGACTGAAATGTCAAGAAGACAAGGTAAGTAACCTGTGTCCCAGTCTGTTGTTGTATGTAATGCCTGGAGAGTAGATGTTATACGTGTATGTATGTATGTAGATAGGTGTAGAGAGACCTCTATAACTTTACGTGCTTAGGCCCTAGGTAGGTAGAATTGTTAAGCATTTTCACAGAGGATTTTATTATCAATATGTTTTGATTTATCTTTCAAATTTCTCTTTCACAGGAGAAAGTCGAAGCAAAAATTTGTGAAATTTTTGAAAAATTTGCTACAAGTTCAACAAAAATGTAAGAATGCTTGTGTAATTGCCAAAATACAATTTATTTTCTGTGTAAAAGCTACCCATTACTTACTGGTCAAAAATTTCATCTGGATTCACTATGTTATAGTAGGTAAAAGACAGTTCTTGTAAATAAACTAATTAACAGCTAACTTCAACAGCTAATGATATCTGGCCGTCAGCCAGATGAAATGTACTGCCTGTAAAGGTAACCAAAAACTGATTTATTTACATAGAAGTGTCTTTTACTGTAAAGTATTTTATTTGCGTTGGGATACATCAAAAACTAACTCAAGTTTTCACGGAAAATCGATAACAAATGTGCAGAATCGTTAAAATACTGCGAAATACATTGGTTATATAATGATGTGGGTCAAGAACTACCTGGTAACTTCCTACAAAATTTGCTCTGAAATCAGTCCTTATTTTCAGAAATGTGCGGACAAATTTCTATGTCTAAACTTTTGAGTGGGTAATACATTCCCAGTGCAGGCCTTATTTTACAGTCTGTAAATGTGTGTGTTTTTTTATATGTTTGTACAGTATTATTTTTTACTTTAATAATCTGATCATATTTTATTAGGTGCCATAGCAAAATTTGCTAATTCAC